TCTGATGCAAGTTGCACCTGGAGTCCTCACTGTCCTTCATGGGCAAATCTTTCTTACCAAGAACTACTCTGCAGTTCAGAGTCCTGTTGGGTACAGACTTGTTTTTATCAGTATTTTAGAAATAAATTTTAGGGCATATGAATGAAATTAAGTGGCCTAAAAGTGGTCCATAGTTAGACAATGAGACTTATACTTTTGAGGAGGGTGCAGCAGCAAGGCAGAAGCAGACTGTTTTTCACACTTGTGTGCTTTGTGCAGTTGGTAGCAGCTGGCTGAAGGATGCCTAACTGCTGCTATTGCTAATGAGTGTCTGACTGGTGTGGGATTGATTTGATGTAATTTTGCTCCATTTTGAGGCCTGGGTTTAAGCAAAACTGGAAAATAAAACAGACAATTGAGCTAATTGCAAAGCTAAGCATCAGGGCCTGATCATTCCAGCAACTGCCTGTGACCATCTTAAACCATAATTTATTCGCTCCATTTCTGGATAGGGCAATCACCCAGCTTATAAAATATTTTGCTTAAAAACTAGGTTGGCCAAATTATGTCCAGACCACAGCAACTACTAAAAGGATGTAGAGAGGGCTCCCCAAATTGCTCTCCATTTGTCTGTGATGCACACGAGATTTGTGCCTGGGGTGGTTCCATGCCACCACAATGATGGTCCTTTGCTTGCTATCAGCAGCTTGCTTCAAAATGCTCTGCAGTTAATAGAAAAATGGGAAACTTTGGTTCCTACTTCAGTAAGCAGCTGTGACAGTGAAAGGTCCTTCAGTCACAGATTTCTTGCCCCAGTGTTGGACCAAAGAGAAAACAGCATGTGCCCATGCTGCCCTTTCGTGTGAATCTGCAGCTTATGCTGAAATGCTGGAACAGCTGAGACATCAGCACATGGGGCTGTTCTGTTGACTTTTGTCCTGGGCAAAGGAATGGGACAGGACCTTTATAAACTGCTGCTGTAAGATCAGTTGGACCAAATTATGGCCTCTCTGGGAAATTAGTTTATTTATTAAGATCTTTATTTTTTTAACCTGATGTTGAGGCATGAGGGTCTCCTAGTAGGGGTTATACAGCTGGTCAGCAATCCTCACTCTGATGTGCTGCTTGCCTGCCATAAGCAAACTAAAATATATTAAATAATATCTTTTATCTGTTTTTAAACTCCAGTACACACATCAGTTTGCTTGGCGCAGATTGGAGGAGTTTGCAATTCCAAATTTCATTTTCAAGTCCCTTATTCTTTAAGGTCACTGCAAACCTCCGCACTCTCCGTCAGACTCTAGAGAAGTTGTCAGCATATAGCGTAGCAGGGAATGGGTCTCCTTCAGGATGGGATAGATCTGTGTGCTCACCAATAAAGGAGGAACTCTGATGGAGGTGTTAAGAGTACTACTTGCTCAGTGGAGAACTGTGGAGAAGTTGACATGGTGAAGTGATAGCATTCAAATCACATCCACAGTGTTTTGCTGAGTGTTTACAAAACCTTCAATGGGAGCTTGGGAGACTTATTTCTGTGTCCCCAGAACATGACTAGAAGTCCTGGTGGCTAGTATCCAACTGCATTGGTTCTTATATACTTAACCAAAGATGTTACTAAAGAAAATGGTAATATTTGCACTGGGACTATCTAATATCTAGGGCACTGAATAATTAAACTCAACACATTTTAAGCTGCCAGCATCTCTGGAAATGTGGTTTATTTACACTAGTACTGAGTCAGGTAAAATGTTTCTGTTCACACTGTTGTGAACGTGACAGAGAGATTCCCATCTTGTAGAGCTGTTTTCAGCAAGTGAGCTGTATGTTTAAGAAGCAAACACTGGATCACATCTATTTGTTCAGACAAGTTGTACATTTTTGGCGCAAAAGTCAAGTTACACATTCTGCAGAAACTCATATGGCCATCAGAAAAGCACAAGGACAGCACATGTGCAACTATCAGCTAAAGTTAGCCTTTGTTCTCAGCTGAAACCCGGAAACAGCATGATTTTCTTCAGCACCATTTATTTTTCCTCAGTGTTCACAAATATCTTGACTTTTCAATGGAAATCCTTCAGTGACCAAGGCTGTCCTGCAATATTTTTCTCCTTTTCATCTTATTAAAGCTGTTGTTCTGCTGGGCAGCCATTAGATTTATTGCAAAATTGGTAACTAGGAAAATGAGAACGGACGAGGAAGTCTTCACCTGACCAAATCTCCCTCTTCTCTCCCTCCACACACTGTCCTAACTAAAACTATCTTGCATTTAGAGCATACTTTTGGCCTCACACTGCTTACAGTGCCCAAATTTGCTCTCAAGTTTGACTGTCAGGTGAACGGTACATGAAACTGGACGATGCTCTTGAAAAAGTGGGCAAGATTTGTGACAGCTTTTGCAATCAGGTGGATTCTACCTGCTGTGTGTTTGGTAAGGCTGGCAAGAGCTGAGTGAGGAGGGTATAGCTGAGTGGTACATATTTGCAAAGTGTATTCATAGTTTTAGGATGAACTGTGCTTTACAAAAGCCTTGAAGGTGTCACGGAGTGAAAAGAAGGGCTGAGATGTTCACCCCGTAGACCATGTGGAATCATACTATACTAAAATAATGTCTTTGTGCTGCACAAGGTGTAAAGTGGATGTGGACTATACAGTAAAGTTACCCTCATCAATCTGTACTCAACAAAGAAATGAACATTTCACTTTTATTTATTCTGGGGTGGGGGTGGGGGGAGAGATGAGGGGGCTGTTACACAAAGTCTTCATTTAAATGCTGCTGCTGTTCACCCAGCTCTCCTCTGGCTCAAGGCCCTACTTGTTTAGCCAGGTCTCAGCTCCTCTTAAGACTTAGGCAGCCTTGCTTTTCAAGTCCAGCCTTCTCTGTGGGACTATGGATGCAATCCACTGAGCAGTGCACTGCTTGGCCTCTTCCCATGTGTAGCGGGGCATGTAGCCAATATCCTTCTGTGCTTTTCTATAAGAGAAGGTGAATGGGGTATTCAGTAGAGTGACCAGGTGACGGTTGGTGGAGGGGATGTATCTGACAAAGGGCCGGAGCAAAAAACTCACAATCTCCAGCAGCAGCGAGAAGTAATACAACATTGTCAGAGGCATGGGGAGCCGGGGCTCAATTCCAAACCCCAGGTCTCTGGTCAGCTCATAGTTTAGATCTGCATAGCTCATATGAGGAGTGTCATCTGAGATGTAGTAGAACTGTCCCCTGATGTGCTTGGCTTTCTGTGGGACTTGCAGGGTTTTGGCTGCCTGCACATGTGCCCAGGCAATGTTCCCCACGTACACGGGGTTCACCAAAGCCTCCTTCCTGGAGAAGCGCAGGTAGACATTTTTGTTCAACAGACACTTATCCAGATGACCTTGAAGAAATGGGCAACCTTCTCCAAAAATGTACATAGATCTCAGGGCACAAGTCATCAGCGTGCCACCATCCTTAAGCACCTTGCCGTCTGCTTTCAGCACAGAATCCTCTGCCAGTCTCTTACTCTGAGCATAAGGAAACTTTGATATACTCTCATAAGCTGTATCTTCATCTCCATTGAAAATTGGGTCACCTTTACAGTTTGGGCCTGTCACTTCTATGGTACTGGTATATATGAAGTGCTGGACGTTACAGCGGACACATGCCTCCAGCAGCAGCTGAGTACCTTTAAAACAGAAACATGCAAGTCAGTCTAGAGCTCCCCAAGCAGGAAAAAGTGGGCTTTTTAGATCAGAAACAGCATCTCTGGCCGGAGCTTGGCCAGATCTCCCCTCTCTGCAGCTGGAAGAATCCTGTCCTGAGCAGCACATTCTACGAAACTGAACCTGCTCTGACTCTGTATTTAAGTGGTATTAGTGCACCTGCCAGAGCTAAACAAGGATGAACACTTGGTCTGAACTACACGTGGTGGGTTTTTTATGCCAAGAGTCAAATTTTGCTCTTGCTTAGATTAGCGTGGGTACTGACCACAGATTCAGGGGCTTGTGCCTTCTTGATTGGATTGACTTGGCTTAAGACAGAGAACCTTCAGAAGCTGCCCCTCTCATTAAGTACCATCCGTCCTGTATGCTGAAGCCCCCATTTTCCAGGCTTGAGGATGCTCTTGGGTTGTTTGCTAAGCAGGGACAGAATTAATGTGGAACCTGAAGGTTTGCTCCAAAACCAGCTTCACCCAGTGGAAGTCTATCCACTATTCCATTGGCTTCAGAGGAGGGCTCGAAGAGAAAGATCGTATGTCAGGACAACGCATGATACCGTATAGTCAAAGATCATAAAGTAAAGTGCAGTGAGCAAAGTGATGCTTGTGTATGTATGCCTCCTTTTTTTGGCATATTCTGGCTTTTACTTGCAGTAATACAGGATTTCTTACTTTTAAAATCCTATCATAATACTTTCATCAAGGGGAGCAGAGGCAAACTGGCAAGTTCAAGGTGTTTCAAACAGCCAAGTGGGTTAAGCTAGGAAAGCACATTCAAGGGGCAAATAAATACCTTTGTAAGTTGTGTTGTTTTAATTGCAGGTAGACTCTCTTCTTCTGAGCTTTGAGGCAAAAATTGCCTTATTTGTTGCGCATGGTGTAGTGAGACAGATTACATGTGAAAGGGCCAGTGACTTTGGATCAGAAGATACAGCTCAAAGACATTTGAAAATGTCTTTGGCAAAAGAACATTCAAAATGACTGATATGATATCAGAAGAGTGTGGCCTAAAATCAAACACTAGCAGTGAGGCACATAAATGATCTAAGAAGTCTGCTCAGTCTTTTAAAACAACAACTAAAGGCAGCACAAGGCAGAGCAGGCTAGCTTTGCTAAAGAGAATATAATGAATGAAAGAAGTTAAGAGGGCCAAGGAATATTGGCAGCAAAATATGGACCCATTAATGAGTGAAAAATGGGAAAAATTATTGAACTCAATATTGTTAAGGCACCACAATTCCTTTTTTAAAGTTTGAAGAAGACAAAGAAGTTGAAACAAATGGAAAATTAATCTGGATGAGGCTTTGAGAAACACTAAAGAAGTGCAAAGAAAAAAAGGGTTACATAGCCAGGAATAAATTCACGTGAAAAGTGAGTTCATGCAAGTCACTGTGTTTAGGTGACACACAAGCCCGTGTCATCTGGGAAATTAATTAATTAATTAATTAATTAATTCTATTCTTTTAATAATTAATACCTTAATTCCTGCATCAATCTGTTTAGAAAGTGAGGGAAAGTAATAAAGTGCAAAAGGGCTAGATAAATTCAAATAAGATAACAAGTTTTTTAAAAAGCAAACATTTGGTATCTGTTCAAGATCAATTTCACCCAAATAAAATGTCTTTCATTTGCAAATCAAAGTTGGATGTAAAAAAATGAAAATGTTCTTACAGTAATGGGAATTTTAGCATCTTTCACTTAGCATATAATAAAGTAAATCTCCCATGGAGCGGTCTCCAAGTTTTGCTTGCCCACAATCCCTTCTGGCTGAGGATCTGATTCACAGAAGGTTATTTTGTTAGGATTATATTTAATTATTTTCTTAATTCCCTTCCTCCTAAAAATTTGCTTCCTTTCCTAAAAAGATTTTTGTACACTGAGGCATTGTGTGGCATGTGAGACAGATGAAAGCCCTGCATCATGGCAGGTTTAACTTGTTTGCTTCTGTTCTGGTTTGTAAGCATCCACACCTGGTTCCCTGACAGATTTGTATTACAAAAGTTTTGGGGTTTAGGAGAAAAAAAACTTTCATCCTGCAAGTCCATGAAGTACTTAACAGTGTCTTGGCTGGTCAGAAAGCCAGAAGAGCATCAGAATGGAAATTGAGGGAAATAAGAAAGAGGACTGCACTATTTATTGACTAACCTCAGGGTCAGTTTGCTCTAGGAGCAGGACAGGTGTGTGCTTTCGTTCTACCAAACATTATCAGCTAACCCTCATGGGCCCAGTGGATTTATTTCACCCCTGGGCAGATTCTGCCCGAGGGGGAAATAAAAGATTTATGAAAGCCTAGATATTTTATGCTTAAGTCTAAACCTGACAAAAGGAATGATGGGACCGACTTAAATAAACTCTCTGGCTCTGACTCCATCTCAGAGCTCAAGAGTTTTCTCAAGCTTTGGGGACATTTTAATATTTCTTTGTTTTTTTGTTGTTAGTTGTTTTTTTCCCCATGGGTTTAGGCAACACATTCTGCTGTGAAAAACAGATGGTAGCAGGAGTATGGTCATAAAGAGAGAGCTTTAGAAATCCTTTTTCTGAACTACCACCCCTCTATATTTATTTTCATACTACCCAATGCACAGGTTTACAGGAACTTGCCTTTCTGCTCTTTCCTCCTGGCAGGGACCTAAGAAGTTGCCTGCTGGTCTCTAATTTGTGGTCACTGACAATTTGTGGCTTTGACTGAGCAGAAATGAAAGGGTCTAGAAACTGAATGTACAGGCAATGACCCAGGCTGAAATGACCAAATGCCACCCCACTGTTTTTAAGGTGCATGTAAGAGACAACTTGATTACAAAGAACATTCTCTTGCGCTGAACGCTAGTGAGTAGCCAATATTTGTAAAATTGATGCCTGTAGAATTATGTTCCTTATTTTTCTGTGACGAAGGCTTGTATCTGTGGCAGAAGGGAACAAAGAACCAGGGAAATTATTCACACAAATAAGTACACCTTCCCCAAATCTTCCCCAAGGAGCTGAAGCAACACAGCGAGGGAGGTCAGTGTGCATGCTGGTTAGGCATTACCAGTTCTCTGAAAGACTTAGAGCGTTTTGGGATCACAGGGAGGGGGATGAAGTTGTTCTTTTAAGAAATATATTTAAATTTCCTGGCAGCTGATGCCACACGGGCCATTCCTAGGCCAAAAACTTCCCTCTTCATCTGACTTTTTCATGAAGAACAGGGGCTCCTTAGTAGAAATCACTGGGTGAGAAGTCACTGAAACCCCTCCCTCCTACAACCTTGAGTTTGTTGGGGTTTTTTTAATGATAAGCTCAAGGTGGGAGAGCATCTGCTCTCTGAACGGCATTCATGCACACACAGACATAAAGGCAAATGGGAGGAAAAGGAGAAGAGGTGGAAGAAAATGAATAGGAAGCGGAGGGCCACAGGGTCTGGGATGTTAGCAATGCAAGTTTGCTGTAATTGCAGCCAGAGACTGCAGTGTTTGTAAAAAATGAAAACTGTACGCAGGCAGAGATGCTACATGGGGAGGAAGAAAAAGAACCGATGTCTCAGGTGCACATTGGGATTTCGGAGGTGAATCACTTCCAGAAAGGTTCCCTGAGCATGGGATTATGGCTGCCCCACTGAAGGCAGAGACTGCGCAGATCTCAGGATAGGCATATGTGAGTGCCAACAAGAGTGAATGATTCTGCAGTGCCCTGCAGTGGAAGACCAGTGCACGCTGGGTGTGGAGAGGGCCAGAGCTGCACGGGGCTGCACATATGCATGCTTTGCACTCACAAGCGCAGCTGTGCAAGATGCAGAACAACGCAGTTGATCTAGCTAAAAAAACCAGGTCAGGTGCTCCCTTTTCTGAACAGATGATGATAAGGACATAGTAGACACGGGTGTGAGAAAGGTTCTTCACCTGCTCACCTGTTACATTCACTTCCCAGAGCAGCTGCTTCTCGATGAGGCCCAAGGTGTCAATGATGGAAGCTGTGTGGATGACGAGGGAGACCCCCTGACAGGCACGGTGCAGGAACGTCACATCTCGAATGTCCCCTTCCAGGATTTTCACCTCAGTCTTACCCTGGAACTCTGCAAGGGCAGCACAAAACAAAGCCGAAGACTTTACGGGCATCCTAAGATGAGCACTGAAAGGAGTGGTGAAGAGCTGTGTCTGGTGCTGCGCTTGGGAGGCGCTGACTGCCCAGGCACAAGAGCAATATTTTAAGGCTGGCAAAACAGGAGGTGTTTTCCCATGGCTATATTGTCAAGTACTAGTTACAGTGCTATAGAAGTCTATGTTGCATTACCTACTGTATTTTTGGAGCCAATATTCAACACGGGTTTTGTTTTGTTTTAAAGAGAAATCTTTCCCACTGTCAGGAAGGGCCTGAAGCTTCCTTCAGGTGTGACTATTTTAAAGTTCACAGGAGGACTAGCTTTAGCTAGTCTGGGGACTGGCTATTTATAAAAGCTTTAAACCAAGTATACCAAACGGCCAGGCACTGCATGCTTCTGTCTTCAAGGTGATGAATGGTCTCTCGCCACCCACAGCATGTGTGCACAGAGCTGTGTTCACACCTATTTTCTGCCCCTTGACCTTGCCCATATTGCAGCTCTTCTAATACATTACTTAAAGTTCTGATACATAAGTACTTTGGCCAGGACTTGCTGTGCCTCTTCTAACTCCAGCTCCAGCTCCATTTCAGTGTCTGCGCTGTGGGGTCATTTTTAGCACGCACATCTTCCTGGTCCAAATCTGAACTCTCAAGGCTGCTCGCCTGAGCTACCTCAGCCCTGACTTGCTTTAACTCCTGCTTTTTAAGCCCTCTCCCTTTCCAGCAGCTAATGTTTGTGAGCCCGGTGCAGTCCTAGGTCTTGGAGCCATCCTTCCCCCTGGGGCAGAAGCATCCTTTATACAGCCCAGAACTATGCTGACAAAATTGAGCGGACACAGGCTGATCGCCTGGAGAAATTGATAGTCCGAGGCAATGCTGCTCTTCTGGGAGGTATGCTGGCCTGGCTGCAGCTATACCATGGGACAGGAGAGGACTTTCTCAGCAGGATTTACAGCTTTTAAGGAGATGGTATCATTACAGCAAGTCCTCTCTCAAGCCTCTGCTGTAGCTGCGCTAGAGGGCTCCCCAGGCACAGCTACCAGGAAGGGACTCCGCAGCACAGGCAGATCCTCTGTCTTCTTCCAGCATAATCAAATGACCATTTTAGATAAGAAAAGAACCTGATTAATTTATACAGCTTTTAGCCTCAGCCGTGCCTGAAATCTCATGTATCCTAGTCCTTTGTCACCAACTCCAAAGCAGGCAGCATTTCATCCCATGACTTTAATGGAGAAACACTAAGAGAGACAGCTGCTGGAATCCGGAACTGAGTGGGAGTATCTTTTTAAATGGTTTTATCTCATTATCTCTGTAGCATGCTAGAATGTCATCCTGTATTAATTTAACAATTATTCTGATGCAACAGGCTTGAGGGTCTTTTTTTTTCTCATCACAGTCAATTGGTCTGAGATGTGAAATTTGTCAAACAGTTACAAAACTGTTACTAAATCTAGAGTTACTGCACTCTCAGCACAGTCACTGCCACATGCTCTCTTACACTTTTTTATTTTACAGAGTGCATTCATTTCCTAGGGCTCCGTTTCCAGAAGGTTTACACTGACCTCTACTTGTGTGGATGCAAAAGTGTCAGGCTATGCGGCTAGGCTTTTTCTTAAGCACCTGGCAGTTAGATTTGCTCTAATAAACATTAGTATTTGTACAGCCCTTAGGTTGATGTTCTCCATGAGTAAGGCTTTGTGGGATTGCAATAATCCGAAGGATTGAAATACGTGGTTTTCACAATGTAAATTCTGACATGTGACTCTGTCAGAGTGGTCATTGCCTGGGCAGGAGTTAAGAAAATTGAACTTTTTACACATGAAAATCAAAGCTTTCAGGAAAAATAATACAAAAGAAACCTGTCCCTTATAAAGCTGATCACAGGGATAGTTGGTATCAGTCACTAGAAAGCTTCTGTCTAGCTGCTTTGTGCCTTGTTTGGGCTTGCAATTTAAGTTGTGTGTGTGATATAAGGCAGGAAAGCTGCTCCTCCAGTCCACTTCAGGCAGCAGAAGTTGCTGTGTTAATGGACCTTGTTCGTTTTACCAGCATCAGCTAGATGTCAGGAATCAGCAGACTGATCTTGTTTTGCTCTGGGGGAAGAGAAAACTACAGGTGATCTTGGAAGCAGAGAGAGGAAAGAAGAAATAACTGACAGACAGGTTTCAGTCTGAGATGGACAGCAGAGAGAAACTTGATTCTCATCTGCACAAACCATTGCTCAGGCATCAGAAAAGCACATATGTGGCAGGTGGAAGAAGGAGAAAAAAGTAAATTCAACTCAGCTCTCCATTTTTGCATACAGTGATTATGAGAAAGTACCTACCCCCTGGGAAAGCTTCTACTTCACCAATGGTTTCTGTGTCCTTTGAGCTGTAAGCGATGCTCCCTGCTTGCTATGGGTAGTTTTTGCTTGGAAATGCAATGATTACTCAATAAAATTTGGTGTCCTGTTGTGAGCATGTCTGACTCAGCAATGCAGTCAGACTATTTGCCCTAAACTGTCTTTCTCTTTTCTGTGTGGTGTTTAAAGTTCAAGCAAACAGCAATGTCTGTGGGACTTAGCTTGAATTTCTTAATGCTCCTTTATAGAGGTTCTAACAGCTGTGGGGTGGATGGTGGAGAAAGGCACTCCTCATGAGAGATCTCTGCTTTCCTGGTTGACTGGATGTTTCATTAAAATGGTCTACTTTGTGTAGAGGAAAATTAAAAATTGCATCTTATTTTCATTTGTAAAGTGTGAAGCAATTTATTGGCTTCTTTGCCCAGGGCAACTGAAGTGTTTATTCTGTTCCAATTTCAGCTACTGGGATGTTCTATTGCTACTCTGCCTTTCTGTTTTGAGCGCAGTGATAAAGGCAAATGAATGTCTACAACATTGAGCGAAAAGCCAGGAGGAAGTTTCCCAGAGCAGGAACTTTCCCCCAGCAAAAGTCCTGGAAAAAACACCACATTCTTTCTCCCTCTACTTTCCTTCTACTTTGGAGCAGCAGTGGGTTAGCAGTGCAAAACCACCCAGTGCTCAAGCACCACACAATCTATAAATGTCTGTCTCTCAAAAATGGCATGAGACAAGGGTTCAGGGGGAGAGGGGGGAGATGTACAGAGGGATGAGACAAGGGGGAGTCTGCTTTGAAACAGTGAGAAATCCTCTTGAGAACAACCTAGGAGTTTCCAACTTTTCCAGACATGCCAGTGCAATAGTGAACAAAAAAAAAGTATTGTATAAGTGGAAGCACAGGAAAGGCAGAAAGATAAATTTGAAGTGGAGATGGAAGGTAGGAAACCCAAGGCACCAAACTACCATGTTCAACATGGCATTCATTCTCAACCACACGACGTAACTGGGTAGACTCCAGCTCACAACACTTGGCATTGATTGGATCATCCTGGACTCCCTAGGGCTGTGGAAGACCACAAATACCACTTTTGTACACAGACTGAGCACATGGTCAAGGTCTCAGCAGGCAAGCTGCTTGGACAAAAGAGGAGCGTCCCTGGCACAAAGAGCTGTAACTTGCACATACTCCTCTCTCTTACTACCCACAGCCCTGAGTCTGCAAAGATATTGCAACCAAAAGGTGCTCCAGAGCTTAGTGAGAAAGAAAACAACTCAGCTCTGCTCCTGGCTACTCAAGAAATCTAAACAACACATGCTAGCAAGTAAAAGTCCCTGCAGTAAAAATAATTGCAGGTCAGAAGACTCCAGCCCCAGTTTTTGCAGCAGCCCTACGTTTGGAATAGGAGTCACTGTGCTAGAGAATGGCTTGAAAGAGCATGGCAGGAAAATATGGCAGGTAGTCCCAAGGACACTTGAAGAGGTGTAGCTAGAGAGGCTGGTACAGACAGAGGAACTGCCAGTCAAACACATCTGAAATGCCAGCCTATTGTTCCTCCTACCTGTTTGTGGGGGCAAAAAAAAAGCTCTGGTAACTGATTTTTCCATTCCTTCTGTGCTGGTCAGATAGGCAGCAGGAACGTTGAAAGAACAGGAGAGGGAATGTCTGGACAGTGTTCAGTGGAAGAAGGAGGGAGGATAAGGAAAGAAGGCATAGAGCTTTTCTATTAACAAAAAAGGAACAACAAAACCTTTGCTGCAGCCCAGTCAAGATTGTGCTCACAGAAGTTGTTCTCACTCCCCAGTAAGCTCCATTATCCTCGTAAACCCCCCCTGGCCCAGAGCAGCGCAGATGCTTCTGTTGCTGCCTCGCTGCATCAGTGGTAATCCATACGGCCACCTGCTGCTGCGAGCACTTCAGCCTCTGCTGCAGCTGCAAGTTTTGTCACTGTGGGAACTGCTTGGAAATCAGAGCAGGAAGGGCTGCTGCAAGGCTCAAGGGCATCTAGCAAATCCTCAGTGAAACGCTGAATGGGATTTAATGAGAAGGAAATCCAAGTTGCATCAAACCATCCTAAAGGCTTGTGCAATTTGCACCAGGTTTATGGTGCACTGTTACTAGTCTTTGATGGCACTTAAATGCTTTACAGAAAGATTGTGGCTCTTTATCAAATTGTGTGGGGTTATTCCATAAGGGTTCCCATCTAGTTGACTGTATAGAGGAAGAATAGTCTTGAGGTTAAGATGTGATGGAGAAAAGCATTGTCAAGTAAACGTGATGTAGGGATTTAAGAACTTGATTGAATTTATGTTCCTACATGCCTTTTTATAGATGTGCTCAGGATCCCAGGAAATGAGACATTTAAAATATAATACTCTGAGCTGCTTTCCCCACCACAGACCATTTCTGACACTGGACATATCACTCGTTTGTGCTTCTCCAGTCCATTCAAGAAGCCAGAGTCCTGACTTGCCCTCTGCAAATGGGTTCTGTCTCTTCAGCTAGCACAACAAGGCTTCTGCTCTCCAGGCAACTGCGATAACATTAATAATAACAACAATTTTTTAAGATAACCTCATCACAACTCTCAGCTAGAAGACCACTATTAACCAAACTAATCACAGGTTGAAGTGAT